AGACATTACATAACAAAAAGCATGATAAGAACTGTATGTATTCCTGAAATGCTTTAAAAGAACGAAGTACTCAGCAGAGAGTAGAAATGTGGTTATAAGTCATTTTTCAAGACTGGATGACTGGCCCTTTAAGAATACTATTTAGTCTGGGGCTGGCCGGTGTCTCAGCCCTTAAGTGTGCACGTTCCACTTCGGTGGCCTGGTGTTCGCGGGTTTGGATCCTGGGTGCCGACATGGCACTGCTTGGCAAGCCATGCTGTGGAAGGTGTCCCACATATAAAGTGGAGGAAGATGGGCACCGATGTTAGCTCCAGGCCAGTCTTCCTGAGCAAAAAGAGGAAGATTGGTGGCAGATGTTAGCTCAGGGCTAATCTTCCTCAAAAAAAAAAAAAAAATACTATTTGGTCAATTAAACATGGATGTATTTTGTGCCATTTCCACTAAAGACAAAAGTTTATTTCTGAAGAAAGAGAAGTGAAGTGACCCTAGATTCCAGCTGAATATCCTGTCTGCCTTCAGCATCCAACACCAGAGAGCAGAGCTTGGGATATCTTTTCTTGTTCCAATAGTATTAGCACATACTCGGAGTAGTCAGGAAGAAGTCACACATTCATCTTTGGCATGTCTATCTTACCCCTAAATGAGATCCAGGGGCCCAAGAACGCCCCACCTGCCCTAAAGGATCTCCTCCAGTCCTTGAGAATGTCAGCGGAGTGCCTAAAATGCCTCCATCAGGGCTTCTCTCTAATGCTCTTTGTTAGGGCTTCTCTAAAAGTAAAACCCCCTTCCAAAGTGGGGGGAACACAGCAACAATCTGGCATCTCCATCTCATCTGTAAATGAGCAGAAAGTATAACCATGTGATTGAGAGGAAGTTCATAAATGAGCTCCCCCACTCCACCCCCGCAACACAGACAGACACACACACACACACACAAACATGCCACTCAGCATTTACTTTCAAGTTCCTTAGGTGACTCTCTTCCTCTAGGATTTTCAATGGAATTTCCTAAAGCATGCAACACATTTTCACTGCAACATTTGAGAGTTGCTGCTACTCGTGCAGCAAAGCTGGCCACTTGTCCCTCCACTGCGAGGAGCAGCTCTCTTGACTAAAGGTGTGGTTGCTAGCATCAGAGCCGTCCTGTCAGAACTGCAAGAGGAAAGAGGAAACACAGTGTAATGAAGCAGTAATAATTACAGCTGTGATACTGGTAACTGAAAAGACACAGACAAATGAAAATAAACGTCCAGAAACAAACCGAAGTATGAGAATTTAGTATATGATACTAAATTCAAATAATTTCAAACTAGTGAGAGAAGAGTTGATGTTGGGACTTTAGGTAACCACTTGGGAAAAAAATTTAAATCCCTGCCTCAAACCACATGCAAGAATATATTCCTGATATGGGGCTGGCCCCGTGGCCGAGTGGTTAAGTACACGCGCTCCGCTGCAGGCAGCCCAGTGTTTCGATAGTTCGAGTCCTGGGCGCGGACATGGCACTGCTCATCGGACCGCGCTGGGGCAGCGTCCCACATGCCACAACTGGAAGAACCCACAACGAAGAATACACAACTATGTACCAGGGGGCTTTGGGGAGAAAAAGGAAAAAATAAAATCTTTAAAAAAAAAAAAAAAGAATATATTCCTGATAAATATTTATAAGTTTACAAATAAAAACCTTTCACAAAATTATAAAAACAAAGCCATATAATTACCGGAAAATAAAGGTGAATATATACATATATATTTCTGCAAACACACACACATATAGTGAACTTTTGTAAACATAACACCAAAAGACAAAAAGAGTGAAAGCAAAGATAGAAAAATGAATGCAAAAAAGACCATAACCAAAATGAAGGGCAATAAATACAGAGTTAAGAAAAATTACCCAAAATTTGGAGATAAGACAAAAAGATTACTGCTTGCTATTTCAATATCATACTAAAACATTGTCTAACAAGCCCACCTAAGGGCCATTATGATTCTTTAGGAAAATATAACTTTGTTTGACTTGCCATTTTCTATTGATTAGGGCCTATACTCTGTAAAACTAGATGTTAACATATAGAAGATTGATAAGTTGCAAATGGTTTTTGCATGGGAGAGATGCAAATGATTTCTGTCTGGTAGAAAACATATTCCCAAAGATTATGCTTTTATTGCTCTGTAGAACAATAACAAGTTTTGTATTTAATTTAGCAATCTAATTTCAGCATACTTTCTTTCATTTCAGTCTCAAGTTCTCTGTTGAATAAGGTGGTCCCCTCAGTGATGAGTTAAATAAATCACTGACATGTCTCATATATATTTGTATGTTTTTAACTTTTAAAAAATTATACTTTGTCCTAAAAATGTTAAATACAGTATTACCATATGATCCAGCAATTGCACTCCTAGGTATATACCTGAAAGAATTGAAAGCAAAGATTCAAATAGGTACTTGTATACCAATGTTTATAGCAGCATTATTCACTATAGCCAAAATGTGGAAACAAGCCAACTGTCCATCAACAGATGAATGGGTAAACAAAATGTGGTATATACATACAATGGAATATTATTCAGCCAAAAAAAGGATGAAATTTTGACACATGCTACAATATGAATAAACCTTGAAAACATTATGTTAAATGACATAAGCCAGACACAAAAGGATAGTGTATGATTCCACATATACGAGGTACTTAGAATAAACAAATTCATAGAACATAGAATAGAGGTTACCAGGAGCTATGGGGAGGGGTGAGTCTGAAGTTTTTTTCAATGGGTACGGAGTTTCTATTTGGGATTGTGAAAAAGTTCTGGAAATGGATAGTGGTGATGGTTGCACAACATTGTGAATATACTTAATGCCACTCTATTGTACACTTAAAAATGATTAAAATGATAAATTTTGTTATGTATATTTTACCACAATAAAAACATTTATTCTTTGACAACAGCTTGGGAAAAATATTACTAATATATATAACACCAAAGAGATGATATTCTTGATATATACATAGTTGTCATTAAGCCAATCAGAAAAAAAAATGGACTAACGATTAGAAGTTCACTAAAGAATAAATACAAATGGCAAATAAACATATAATGTTCAACCTGACTCAGAATTTTGTGTGCGTGTGCATGTGTGAGGAAGATTGGCCCTGAGCTAGCATCTGTGCCAGTCTTCCTCTGTTTTTTGCATGTGGGACACCACCACAGCATGGCTTGATGAGCGATGTGTAGATCTGCACCCGGGATCCGAACCCACACACCCTGGGCCACAAAGCAGAGCTCACAAACTTAACCACTATGCCACTGGGCCAGCCCCTTCACTTGGGATTTTTTAAAATGCTAATTAAAACAATAATGAAATTCCATTTTCTCATACCATATTGGAAAAAAATAAAGCAAATTACAATACCCAGTACTGGCAAAGGAATAAAGGAAACCATGACCGGGTTCAGTCTTCCTAGAGAGTATTTTGGGAAAAGTGTGCATACTCTGTGACAATAGTTTTACTTCAAGGAATATATCCTTAAAAAATGACAGGCAAGGGGCTAGCCCCATGGCATAGTGGTTAAGTTCAGCACACTCCGCTTCTGTGGCCCAGGTTCATGGGTTCGGGTCCCAGGCACCAATCTACACCACTCATCAGACACACTGGCAGCAAACCAAATATAAAGTAGAGAAGGATTGGCACAGACGTTAGCTCAGGGCTAATCTTCCTCAGCAAAAAAAAAAGACAGGGAAGTGTGCTTCCCATGTGTATACAAGAGAGGACGTATAGTAGATTGCTTAAGGCTCTGCAGCCCTACAACCTGGGCTTGAATACCAGTTCCACCAGGTATTGCTTGAGTGACTTTAGGCAAGTGGCTTAATAGTGTGTAAGCCTCAGTTTCCTCGCCTGAAAAATGGGAGAAATACTGTAATAGGACCTACCTCATAGGATCAATGTAACAACGAAATAAGATAGTTAATATAAAATGTACGTTGCCTGACACACAGCAATAGCTCAAGTGTTAGAGATAGTTGTTATTATTGTAGCTCTAACTGGATATTGCGTGAGATTTTGAGATTTTTCCCAGTTGTCCCAGAATTGGTGATTAGGACCCACAGGTGAGAACAAAAAAGTGCTAACTAACCCACACCCTTAAGAAAATTGCCAGTAATTGGAGCCAGCCAACTCCCCCAAGAGAGTAGGCAAAAACAGTCTAGCGTTTCCAGCCTCCTCCCCGCTTGACCTACCCCAACCCTCCATCTCTGTAGGAGAAGTGGGGAGGAGTGAAAGGGAGATGGTGATTTGCTTTGTGGGGAGTACAGAATTACTTCATCCTGAGAAGAGATTTCCTCCTCCCAGTAGGAGAGGGGTGGAAGGTGCTGTCTCTCAGGGGAAGACAAGTGAGAAGGGAAGCTCTTGTAAAGCCTAGAGAGAGATGCATGCAAGGAGGGGAGATCTCCATTGTATGCCTTAGTTAGCCATCTGCTGAGGCTGAGGGCCTGTGCTTGCCAGTTTTCTCCTTTGAACAAAGGAGGGACAAATATAAACAAAGGAGAAGAACACTGGAGAGAGCTGGCTATAAAGTACTAATAGAGGAAAGTAGTCTGGTGTGACAAAGGAATATATATTTCCCAGGGATCCACTGTACATTGAAATAGGTGGCTAAACCTGGAGTGTCTCACCAGACCCTACCCCAGCAGGCTGGTGGGTAGGAGAGGGACCCCTGAAAGTAAAGGCAGCAGTTGAGAAGGAATGGTCAAGCTGGACCTGGGATCTCCCTCATCAGGGAACTGTGGAGTGGGAGGTCCAGAGGGTCCCTCCAAAGACACCTATACTGGACACCTGCCACACAGTGGAAATTAACACAGAGGCCCCTCAGCATAAACGAGAGAAGCAGGGACAACCAACAAAGAGAGCATTACAGACACACTCAGGCTAGTATGAAAGCTTTTGAGTTGAGATTTCTGTTACTTCTAGCGAAAAGTATCTTAATATATTTCTTTCTCTGTAGACCAGATTTCCCTCTCCACATACTGGCTGCCCCTCAGCTTAGAATGTACATGCTTTAAGTGAAGCCCTACACAGGGATGAAAACTGAAGAACTTCAGTTCTAATATAAAATTCCCAGGTAAGAGACCTTAATTGATCCAACTTGTTTGGTAAGTGTATAGCTGGAAATATAGGGTCGCTAACACTCAGTCTCAGAGGACCGTCATGAGCTGGAAAGACATCCCAAAAGATGTCTCACAGTGTTGATAAAGTGAGAGAAAATGTTGTGCCCCAGAATCCTTGAGAGCTGAGGAATTGCAGATAGGCTTGGGTGGGCTTTGAAATAAACATTATATATAGGGGGCAAAGAGGTTTATTTACTATACCTCACTTTCCGGAGAGTTTCATGAGGTGATGTGTAGGGATTGTAAGGTTTTGGAAGGGGTCTTAATCTGAGAGGAAATGAGGGAGGTCATTGATTGCCAGAGAGAGGGAGAGAGGGGTCATATCATCTACAATGTGACTAACCTCTGCTGCAGCCCATCGATCTTCAATCAAATCAAGAGATGCTGGTATTATCAGATTTCTGGTGGGCACCTGCAAGAAGGATGCAGCTTCACATCCAGGTATGACCTGGGACAGGAACAAAGACAGAGAAGCCGAAGAGGAATTACACCACTAAAAGTGTAGAGTCGTCTTTGAATTACCCCAGACCCTGGATGTTGGAGCCAAGTTTACCCAATTCTCTAAGAATACTGAAGCCCCTAGGTGGTATCTGGGTTACAATTTTAATAGCAAAAGAAAAGGAAACCACAAAGATTTCATCAACAGCAACAGCAGCCTGATTAAACAACCTGTGATTAACTTAAATCCGACTAACTACAAGTTGGAATCCTAATCCTTCACAGATTAGGGTTTCTTTGCTCTGTTTCCCTATCTGCAGTTGGCCTGGTGAAATGGAAAGATGAGGAGTTTCAAAACTCTTAAGTGTTCTTTAGACTCTAAGAATTCCAGCCTATATTTGCTTCTTGGGGCACCAGCTGATCCAAGAAGTCAGATTTCCTGGGAACCTGAGTACATTGAGCTGCTTTTGTTGTTGTTGTTGAGGAAGATTGGCCCTGAGCTAACATCTGTTGCCAATCTTCCTCTTTTTGCTTGAGGAAGATTTGCCCTGAACTAACATCTGTGCCAGTCTGCCCCTATTTTGTATGTGGGACGCCACCACAACATGGCCGACAAGTGGTATATGTCCGCGCCTGGGATTCGAACCCGCAAACCTGGGCCGTGGAAGCAGAGCACATGAAATTAACCACTACACCAAGGGGCTGACCCTTTATGGGCTGTTTTCTTGCATACTGATTCATATACCTTGAGGCCTTAAAGCAATTAGGTGGTGGGAGCAGGGATTTCTGTGATTTCTAGCCCACATTAAGCCAAATTTGGCCTTGAGGTAGAATGGGAAGGTGGTAAGTACCTTGAAAAAAATTTTCAAAAATAGAATGTAACTTAAGTAGAGAGAGAGAGGGGTCATGTCACAACTTTAAATATTACTGAAGCCTATTTGTTGTTTGAATTTTATAGCATTAAGATTGGAAGTAGCTGGGTCGGCCCCGTGGCCAAGTGGTTAAGTTTGCGCACTCCGCTTTGATGGCCCAGGGTTTTGCTGATTCGGATCCTGCATGCAGACATGGCATCGCTCATCGGGCCATACTGAGGCAGCATCCCACATGCCACAACTAGAAGGACTCACAACTAAAAATACACAACTATGTACCAGGGGGCTTTGGGGAGAAAAAGGAAAAATAAACTCTTAAAAAAAAAAAAAGATTGGAAGGAGGGAGAGGCAATTTTTCTAAAGAAGGAAACATGGGATATCATGTGAGACTCTGGACTGTTTAAATATCTAGAACAAGGATTCATGGTGATTTACTAGTATGGTTATTACAGTGCCACTATTTAACTTTGAACAAAGGTTTGTGTCTTCTGCTTTAAGGAAAAGTTTTCAAATTTAGTTCCATGGGAATTAAATTGTGACAGTTTGCCCACTGTAGAGCTATTTTCTTTATGTGCCCAGTACCCCTTCTCTTCACCACTCTGACAAAAGGGGTAGGCATAACCCAGGCTGAATCTTTCACGGCACCTCCTCCCACTGGGCCACAAAGATTGAACCAGAGATAGGCAGCTATCGGATGTCGCTCTTCTCAGGGATGCCTCACCTGCAGCTGGTAGAGAACATTCTTTCTCTCTTCTCTGTCTTGACAGTATTGAACTTTACCTAAACCCTGTGTTCCTGGAAATCTGAGATGGTTGAGAAATTCCCCCCACCCTTTCAAGTTCAGCTTACTGCAAAGAACCACTCTTCCTTGTGTGACATAGATAAGACTCACAGATGACTCCTTTATTTACCTGTGACACAGACACAGAGACTCGAAATTCCCATTCATTGTCTCATCCATGATTATCTGAACTGTCTGTCCCCCTGAAACTAGCCAGACACAAACACTTCCTGCTCAAGCTGACTGACTGAGACGCCCTGATTACAACAACAATTCCAAATGTAAAATCACCGCACCTATAAGTTGTCTACTCCTCTGTATAAAAGTCTCCAGACAAAACTACCCTGCTGAGACTCTGTGATCTTCAGATCTGGGATGCTCTCCCTATTGCAATAGCCTGTATAAAACCAGTTTGCTTATTAGTTTGGTTTGTGTCTTTGACAGGGTGTGGAATTGTAAGGATGTCTTCCCAAGGCTCCAGTGGCCATATTCCCAGCCATAGAGAGAGGTCTGAGGGACTGAGGCTACTAGTCAGAGGGAAGTAGAGACTTGCTTGTCTCGCAAAGCCATCACAACCCTGATGGTGGGCCTAGCTGCCTAGAGCTGCCATGCTCTGGCATCTACCAGTGTCTGTCCCTTAAATCCCCTTAGTTATAAGGGTTATTTTGATTTTGATTTCTGTCACTTGCAACCTGAGTAGCCCTGACTAATAAATCCACCACATTTAAAACTCACCTTGCAAGCCTGGTAAGTATCTTCATGTAAAAATGCTCTGGATCAGGGGCCAGCCTGGTGGTGCAGCGGTTAAGTTTGCATGTTCCGCTTCAGTGGCCTGGGGTTCACCAGTTTGGATCCCTGGTGCAGACCTATGCACCACTTGTCAAGCCATGCTATGGCAGGCATCCCACATATCGGAAAATGGTCACAGATGTTAGCGTTCCTCAGCAAAGGAAAAAAAGGAGGATTGGTAGCAGATGTTAGCTCAGGGTTAATCTTCCTCAAAAAAAAAAAAATGCTGGGGATTTAGTTCACCTTGAGGATTTATCAACGATAAAAAGCCCTTCACATGGATGTTAACTAGATTTATTATAGTGATCATTTCGCAATATATACAAAATATACAAATACTGAATCGTTATATTGTACACCTGAAAGTAATATAATGTGATATGTCAATTGTACCTCCAAAAAAAAAAAAAGCCTTTCATGACATTTATTTTTAAATGGTTTCATGAAACGTCACTGAAGAAAATGGAAAAGAAACAGAATAGTTAGTATTTTTTAAATGCAGAGACAGAGCATGAATGTTTTGTCACAAAAATAATCCTGGTCCCATGTGTAATGAATGGAAAGGTATGTTACCTAAAGTGGACAAGATTTACAGATGCTGGTAATAATTGGAAATTTGAGGCAAATCTTAACAATGTCCAGAGTCAATTCAAATTTTACCAAATTCTCAAAAGACTGACACCAGATGGTGCAAAAGAAAGTCTTTACAGCAAATTTACTGATAGCAAGTACAAGAAGAGGATCTGTTGACAACTCCAGAGCCTGCCTTGAACATGAACTGGTGCTATACAAGTGCTTCTTACAGACAGGCAAGCTTCCCAACCCGGAAGTGCTCTTAGGCTGTAAGTGCTTTTTGTGGAGAAGGGTTATCTTGCCATTCTTCTTCATAAAACACACGACGTAAACTGAATCTTGCTTTAGTATTTTTCCACTTGGCATTCTAGTGAAAAATGAGTTGAGGTATATGTTTGGAAGTAGTTTGGAGAGTTTGGGGTTTTTCACTAGCAGCACTGGTCACTCGGAAAAAAATTAAGCTTTTTTCAGTTGTTTTATCTATCACAGAAAAGAGCATTTGATACTATAAAATATTACTTGCTTCATACTTTTTAAACCTTAAGATATATTTTCACAGATGTTACCAAATTTTTACAAATGTTTAATCCATATACACCTAAGGACCTAAGGTAAATTTTGTGTTTTTCTGTAGTTCCTCCATTCACCAAAGGTAAAACTTTAAAAGCCAGAAACTGGGCCGGCCTGGTGGTGCAGCAGTTAAGTGCACACATTCCGCTTCTCGGTGGCCCCGGGTTCACCAGTTGGATCCCAGGTGCAGACATGACACCGCTTGGCATGCCATGCTGTGGTAGGCGTCCCACATGTAAAGTAGAGGAAGATGGGCACGGATGTTAGCTCAGGGCCAGTCTTCCTCAGCAAAAAGAGGAGGATTGGCAGCAGATGTTAGCTCAGGGCTAATCTTCCTCAAAGGAAAAAAAAAAAAAGTCAAGGGGCCAGCCCAGTGGCGCAGCAGTTAAGTTCGCATGTTCCACTTCTCGCTGGCCTGGGGTTCGCTGGTTCAGATCCCGAGTGCGGACATGGCACAGCTTGGCATGCCATGCTGTGGTAGGCGTCCTACATATAAAGTAGAGGAAGATGGGCACGATGTTAGCTCAGGGCCAGGCTTCCTCAGCAAAAAGAGGAGGACTGGCAGTAGTTAGCTCAGGGCTAATCTTCCTCAAAAAAAAAAAAAGTCAAAAACTTACGAAATAATTTTGTCTAGACTGAATAGAAAAGGTGAGTCTATGTGAAACTCAAATTTTCAAAAAATAAATATATTCTACAGGGAAAGTAATACCTTTTGTAGGTGCTAATGACAGTTATAAAGAACTATCAGAATTCGAGATATAAGAGAGCATCCTCCCCCTAAGGGCCAAGAAATGGGGTTGGGAGTGGTGCGGAACTGGGAAATACAAAAAGCCGACACCTCCATCCCATTCCAGATGGACCACTGTGGTGGTCGAACTCTCACTCCTCATGTCTCTTGTGCAGCATTTGCATTGTGATGTGTCAAATCACTGAGAGAATGTTCTGTCTTGATCGAGTGGTGGGTGCATCTTTTGTGGTTACACAGTTGTATACGTATGTCAAAATTCATCAAACTATATAGTTAAAATCTCTGCATTTTATTGTATATAAATTATACCTCAACTTTAAAAAAATATTACATATAAATGACCTAGCACAGTCTGACCCTCAATAAATGTAGTTGCTAAAACAAACAAAATCACTGAGAAGCAAAGATCTACTAATGCTGCTTCGGACAATTTAAAATTTCCCAGATAAATATTGTCTGTGGTATTTTAAAATGTGTTATAATTAGTTAAGGTTCAGTTATGGATATAAGACGTATCTACATTTCTCAAAAGAGAACCTCAAACATCTCCTATAAATAGTGGATGGTAATAAGCATTATTTTTTTAATCTCTATTTTCAAGTTTTTCCATAATGAAAATGGATTACTTGTGTTAAAAAAGAAGGGAGGGGGGTGTTTCCAAACTATTAAACTCAAACTAGAATAAAGTCATTTTAGCCTCGGGATCCACATCACAGGGAAGGTGCAGTGGAGGGGTGGGCAGCCAGAGAGGTGCGATGAATGGGGATATGTCTAGAAGAAATATTAGAACATCATTCTGAATTTCACATGAACTTTAATAGAACAATCATCATCTATGTGACTTGGCAACTAAAATGTTTGGATTTAGAGCACAGACGTTTATCATCCTCACCAAAAAAGGGAGTGAGAAAGAGAGCCGAGAGGGGAATTTCATTTCAGCTAGTTTTCTCTGCATGTGCTATATGACATTTCTAAATGTTTGGCCACATGTAGGCCTTTGCAAAACACTGTGCTACCTCTCTAGCTGTATCAGATATGAAAAATTTACATAGAAAGAGCTTGTGGAAAGGTCCTGTCACAGGATATAATGCACATCTTTTGTATTTTCTGCTCATCATTCATCATTCCTTAGGTAGTCCTATAATCTTCCTCATTCTAGTGGGCTGCTAATTGTGAGATCTTACCCCAGACTAGAGGGATGGGCATATCTCAATAAGAAGTCAAGCAAACTCTTACCAGGAGCTTTATTGTTGAGATGAGGCACACAGGTACCACAGGGAGTTGGACCTGGTCATCTGCTGGCAGTAACCTAAAGAAGTAACACACAAGTTCCCAGGACTAAGATCTAGACTTTCCTGGTTCAAGACCTTCTCAAGGCTGGGTGTGCAATTCTTCCTTCTGCACTATGAGCTAGCCAATAAACTGCCAATAAATTCTTTGTTTAGCCAAAGTTTTGTTTTCTATTTCTTGCAATTGAATCCTAAATGATATAAGGGAAGTGGTCCTATATATCTCAAAATAAAACTGGCTGGGGTAGGGGGGTAGGTGTGTAATGGAAAACCTCAGGGCTGTGGGCCTTGGATAAATCACTTAACATGTCTGAGTCTCAGTCCTTTCATTTGTAAAATGGGGATAAACCTTACCTCTGGTGATAAAGTCAAGGATCCTTTTGGGGACAAGATACATAAACCCAACTTGAACCATCTTAATCACAAAAGAGATTTACTGAAGGGAAATTATGATAATCCAAGGAATCGAAGGAGAAGACAATCAAGTATAGGTAGGTCTTTTTCTCTCTGTCTCTCATCTCTGCTTCTCTCAGCATGTCAACTTCCTTCTCTCCTACTGCAAAGAAGTTTAAGTCACCAGAGAGGGAACCTGCAAATCTTGGACTCACAACCACACAGATTTGTGGTTACCTCATGAAGCTATGTCACAGCAAAGTGTTGCATCAAGGTGCAAGGACTCTGAGGAGCCCAAGCAGCTGTGTCTGAAGATAAGAGAATGTGACATAACTTTTGAGTATTTCATTTTCAAGCCTTCTTGGAAAGTGGAAATAATTGAGGAAGACAGCTCTCACCCCATGCCAGGGAGCTTCAGGCTCCACTCTCACCCCTAAGCCCAGAGGTGGATGGAAGAGCCGTGCTTTTTTCATTTGGAGAACCAGAGCCTCATCCCCACAGAGGCCCAAAGGCACTTCTGCCATTTCCCTTGCATGGCCACTCCTTTTTACAAAAGAAATGGTCTCCCTGCTCTGAAGCGCTCTTTTATTTAGCCAAGGTAGTCAAAGTCTCTTATCCTACTGGAAGGAGAAGAACTCTTTTTTTGTTTGCAAAGGCACATGAAGGAAAAACCCCACAATTGATTTTGCACCAGGATACAATTTTACAACACTGAAGTGTCCTCAATAGTTACAATAACTAGTTTTAAGACATAATGAAAGGGTAAAAAACTTTAAAAAAAAGTTTTTTTTTTTTACGCAATAGCCACCAATCTTCAGGGAAAAGTTGATTCTGTTTTCCAGGAAAAGTGGGAGGGTCCGTCCTCTCCCCTTTCTGATCCTGCTAGAGCTAGTTTGCATTGCTCTCAGTCTCCCAATATCTTGTGAAAACACTTTCACCAACTTCTGGTGCAGGACGAGCTACATAAAGTATAGGGCTCAGTGCAAAATTAAAATGCAGGACTACCTGTTCCAAAGTTATTAAGAATTTCAAGACAGCAATAACGGAGCATTCAACCAAACGTGGGACTTTTTAAAGCATGGGCTCTATGAACTGCATAGTTTGCCTGACCTCGAAGAGGGCCCCATCTGTGCTCAGCTCTCTAACCACAGGTGCTCATGAACAGGCCAGGGTCAGGGCAGGAAACAACCATCCTGACCAAACGTAACCCAGTCTAGAGAGATGCAGCTCCCTCTCCAACACATGCCTTTTACATCCCTCCCTCCTTCAGTTCTTTGAGACATCTTACGTAACTGGAAGACACTTGGGGAAGGTTTTCCTAGAATAAAGGTATAGTCTGCTTAAAGACTAGTAAAGTGTTCATTCTTGCCATATAGAAATTACTTGCAGCTTTCACAAGAGTTTTTAATTTTGTCAGCTTCTACTCACTAAGGTATACAAAACTTAGCATCTAAACGTTAGCCTGGGCCCTCTGGACAAAGCTGAAGGTCCCACAAGCCCACGGCCATCAACGGGAAACAACTATATTGACTTGGTCTTGCACTGAAAAAGCAAGTTATTATGGTATTTTGTGTGTCTGGCCCCTATGTTGAACTCTCTAGGAGCTTTTAATGAATTCTTTAGGGTTTCCAGGTGTATAACCAAATCATCACAAATAATGTCATTTGTTTCCTCTTTTCAATTCATTATATCTCGTTCTGTCTCTTGCCTTTTCACATTTGCTACAATGCAGTTTCTTTTAAAATTAGTTCACAAATAAATCAATATTTTTTGAGAAACTTGAAAATTTGAGAATAAAGCTATCTAGGGAAATAAATATCTAGGAGCAATAAAGAAAACTGAGGAAAAAGAAAGATTACTTAGGAGGGACTTGCCTTAACAAACATCAAAATATCCTATAAAACCACGGAAATTAAAACTGTGAAACAAATACTGGCACAAATTGATCTTTGGAAGAAAACAGAATGTCCAAACAAACTAAATTTGTACATATTTGGTACATGATAGAGTGGCATTTCAAATCAGTAGAGAAATGATAGATTATTTAGTAAATGGTATTTCAAAAACTAAAAATTAGGAGTAAGAATATAACCATAACTGTAATTAAAGAATTACAGAGCCAGCCCTGATGCCCTAGTGGTTAAAATTTGGCATGCTCCACTTCAGCAGCCATGGTTTGGTTCCCAGGGACAGAACCACACCACTTGTCTGTCAGTAGCCATGCTGTGGTGGCAGCTCACATAGAAGAACTAGAAGGACTTACAACTAGAATATACAACTACATTCTGGCCCCTTGGGGGGAAAAAATTACAAGAAAATATTTTAATAACCTGGGATATAAAAGGCCATTGTAAGCATGAGCCAAATCTAAAACCCCATAAAGAAAAAGATTTTTTAAAATGCCTATATAAAAAAAAGAAAAAAATGGCTATAAAAAAATTTGATGCCTCTGTACAGGGTAAATGATCACAAAATTAAAAGACAACAGACAAAATAGGAAAAATACTTGTAAAATATAAAAGAAAGGGTTTATATGTAAAATATTAAAAGTTGCTACAAATCAATATTAAAAGGCTAAGAATCCAATAGAAAAATAGACAAAGAATTTGAACAATTTGTGAAAGAAGTACAGTCTTCAACAATCATATGAAAGGTATTTAACCTCATCAATAATATATCATATTGGCTTATCAGATAGGCAAAAGTTTAAAAGTTTGACCATTGTCAATTCTAGTGAGAAAGTAGGTTTGGGTACAACCTATTTAAAGGACAATAGGTAATATCTATCAAAATTAAAAGTGCACATATCCTTTGACCCAGCAATTCTACCTCTAGGAAGGAAGTCATCCTACAGAAACACAGGTAGGTGCTTAAAAATCTGTTCATTCCATCTTTGTGGTAAATGGTCTAATTGTTCAACAATAGGGATAGGGTACTGGTTGGATAAACTGTGGAATATCCATGTAATCCATATAAAGTAATACATAAAAAGAATTAGATCTGTATGTACTGATATGAGAGAAGATGTCCATAAAGACATTGAGGAATGAACTAAGCAAGATGAAGAACAAAACGGTTGGTAAGATTCCTTTCTTTAAAAAAATAAGATGTGCTGAAAGGTCACATGACATCACCTTCTCTAACTCCCCATGGTAAATTACTCTTTACCCCCTTACCCTGAATCGTTTTTCTTTAGAGTATTTATGCTCTTTGGACGTTGCCTTTGTTTACCATCTGTAGAAAGCTCCACGTGTACAAGGATTTATTTATTCAGTGCTCAATCCTCAGCTCCTAAAACATTTTTGGTGTTCGATTAATTGAAAAAAATGAATGGGGACTCAGAAACATATGTACATATATATTTCAAAAAGTTATAAATGTTTCAAAGAAGGTGGATTTAAGGGAATACAATCTCCATGCTCCAACACTAAGTGCTAAAATATCCTAAAATCATTAATATCTGTATAATCTTTTTCCAGTTAACAAAGCAGCTTTACTCATATAGCCTCATTTGGTCCTTGTAAAACTCCCTAAGACATACATAAAAATAGAAATAAGTAACATATATCGTTTGCTAAAGTCAGTCTTTCAATTGATGGTCCCAGTCCTGTTCTACTCATTCCTTTGGATTTTGCTCTCCAGACTACTTATAGTTTCCTGAACACGGCACAGTTTTATTCATATATATATGAATATATATTCATAAAATATTTTTTTTTCCTCACTTGAGAACCTTTTCCTCTGCCGCTCCAGTCAATTTACGTGTACCCATCCTTCAGAAGCCTGTACAGGCCGGATAAAGGCCTCACTTCTCTTCCTCCAACTAGAGACCCACACAGCAGGAGGAACACACGAGCCCCCCCACCCCCAGCTTGCTCCAGAAAGTGCCCCGACTCCCGCGGGGCCCACCTGGCTCCGCCCACGCCCGCAGCCACAGGGGCTCGAAGTCCCCGCCCCCTCCGAGGAGTTTCCCAAAACCCAGCGCGGCAGGCGTCCGCCGCGCTAAGATGGCGACTCCCATGCATCGCCTCATAGCCCGGAGACGAGCGTAAGTGAGGGCCGCGGTCGGGCCGCGGGGCGGGCTGGGGGCGGGGAGAAGCGCGTCAGCCGGCGGGTGAGCGGGCGCCGGGATGAGGGGCCGGTGTGGGATCCTCAGTGGGACCGGCAGAGGGAGGCCATTTTTTCTCACACGTCGCCTGCTCTCGAGGGGCTCGGGCCCGGACGTTAAGTTTGGTGGCCACGGGCTAGGGCTTTCGTGGGAGACGACTGCGTAAGGTCCGCGGGGCAGGACCCATGGGGCTCTGAAGAGAGCCCCGCGTTTGGTTCCCGCGAATGGGACACCCAGGAGTTGGTCCCTAAGTGGTTTCTGCCCCTTTGCCCACCCAGCCGGCCACCCACTCGTGGCCGGGGGAAGCCTGAAGCCCTGAGCCGACACCCCCGACTCCCGCGACGTCAACCTTCAGCTCCCTGAGCAGCCTCCAGCCCCGCAGGCTTTCCTACCCGCTTCCTCTCGCCTTCCGTGGGAACAGCCTGACGACAACGCCGACTTTTCTTCCAAGCTGTCTGCCCACTTTCTCCCATTCATTCTCTTCACTAAATGTTAGTTTATTTATACCTGCTGCTCTATGCCAGAATCTGGGTCTAAAGAAAAAGAGGTGTTCAAGACAGAGTTCCTGCTTTCAGGGAGCTTAGGCTCTAGCGGTGGAAAGAGTTGACCGGCTGGACATTTTAAGTAAATACAATTGGTGATAAGAGCTTGGAAGGAAATAAGAGGTGATGGAAAAAGAGAAAGGCCCAGGTTGAGTTAACTGGACTGGAAAGGCGTCTCTGAAGAGGTGGCATTTGAAGATCCACCGAAAGAAAGCCCGTCATGGGGCCGGCCCGGTGGCGCTGCGGTTAAGTTTGCGCATTCCACTTCGGCGGTCCAGGGTTCCCCGGTTCGGATCCCGTTGTGGACATGGCACGGCTTGGCACACCATGCTGTGGTAGGCGCCCCACATATAGGCGCCACTTTTTCATTCTCTCAGCATTTCATGTCATCACCATTTACACGTCTATAATATATTGCTTACAGTCTGCTAGCATATATATATTTCTTTTTATATTTATATTTTTTATCCTAAGATCCGTGTTCATTCTATTCTCCCTCCATTCCACTCTACCTCTCATGCCTGATGAGGAGAGTTCCTTGAGCATAAGGATAAAGACTTGGGGTCCAAGTAGTATGCTTGGTGGAGGAAGAAGGCTTTGAAGTCAGACAGTTCTGAGATCAAGAATGGAGTGATAATAACACTTAATGGGGGCGGGCCGGTGGCGCAGTGGTTGGATGCGCACGTTCCGTTTCAGGGGCCTGGGTTCGCAGGTCTGGATCCCGGGTGTGGACATGGGACTGCTTGGCAAGCCATGCTATGGTAGGCGTCCCACATATAAAGTGGAGGAAGATGGGCACGGATGTTAGCTCAGGGCCAGTCTTCCTCAGCAAAAAGAGGAGGATTGGTGGCAGATGTTAGCTCAGGGCTAGTCTTTCTCAAAATAATTATAATACTTAATGGGCATGCTAAATGATGTCACCAGGGTCTAACTCTCAGATTTGCCCTTTGGATGTTGGTTCTATACTTGGATAGATTCACTCCTTTGGTCCCAAGATGGCTGCAGTATCTAGGATCCTTCATATCCTCTCAGCTTCAAGTTGATGGCATCTCATTGATCTAGATTGGGTTACATGCCCAACCCTGAACCAAGTCTGTGGCATTATGAAGCTCTGATTGACATATCTCGTTTTCGTCTCAGCACAATCAAAGAATGGATCTCTATAAACCAATGATGTGCTGGGTGGGTAGGTCAGAGGAGGTGATGAATGCCGAATTGTCAGAACCAACTAATGTCCACTGTAAATATGAAGTGAAAGTAAGACTTTTAACACCTAAAGGATGTTGCTCTTTCTTGTTTTATAAGTATTAGAAAGTTAAACAAATGTTGCATTTCTTCAATATGCCTGTATTTGGTATGGGAGCTACACAGAAGTAAAAGACAAATCTTACCTTTAGGAGCTTCTGATCTTGTTGGGAAGAAAACGTAGGATGTATGATAAAAACTGTCATGGTGTGCAGACTGTAAGTCCCTGGGGAGTCAGAGAAGGCGAGCCTTTAGGGGCTAGGGGAGTCCAGAAGAGTTTGGGAATATTTTGAGGGTGGGAAAGCAAAAGAGGAGCCTTTACTTTTCATTTTATATTCATCAAAAAGGTTTAATTTTATTTGTAAGGAGCATGTATTACTTCCGTAATAACAAATTTTACACTGTTTTTAAGTTAGTTTTGGGAAGTGAGAAAGTACTATGGTCATTATTTTTAGAAGTCTTTGGACTAATAGAGGGAAGAGGGAAATAAAAGAAAAAAAGAGAGAGCCTAAATTTGAACTGCCCATTCAGCAGATCTTTCAGGGACCTAACTTGAAATCAGTTGAAATGAAAGTATTTTCACATTTTTTTTTCTTTTGAGGAAGATTAGCCCCGAGCTAACTTCTGCTGCTTATCCGCCTCTTTTTGCTGGGGAAGACTGGCCCTGAGCTAACATCCGCGTCCGTCTTCCTCTACTTTATATGTGGGACACCCACCACAGCATGGCTTGCCAAGCAGTATGTAGGTCCGCACCCGTGATCCAAACTGGTGAACCCTGGGCCACTGAAGCGGAACGTGCGCACTTAACCACTGCGCCACCTGGTTGGCCCCTATTTTCACTTTTTAAATTGTAATTACATCTACTCACGTGAGTAGATGTAGAATCTTGGCACTATCTGGGGTCATTTCTTCTACTAAACCCTCTGCTGGATTCCACTGCACTCTCTTCAGTATCCAGAGGAATATCTGACTTTGGCTTGAAGACCTCCAGGAAGGACATACTCACCTCCAGTAGTAACCTGTTACATTTTTCAAATTTATCAAAAAGTTTATATTGAGCTGAAAGGAAAATAATATTTCTGAAGCTAAAACCTGCTGCCTTCTGACTTCCCAGCTTTTGACCTAAGCTGTGATTTCTGTCAGTTAAAAACCCTAAGTGTTTTCCACTTGAATTGCCATCAAGTCAGGCTTCTCCTGTCTTGTATTGATTTTCTGGACTTAAGTGTCAGACTTACTTTTGCCCTTGTTAAATTTCATCTTGTTAGATTCGACACAGTTCCAGCCTGTCAAGACTTTTTTGGATCCTGATTCGGTCATCCGTTGTATTAGCTCTCCCTCTCAGCTTTGTGTCAGCTGCAGGTTTGATAAATATGCACGTCTGTGTCCTCACCCAAGTCATTTATAAAAACGTTGAACAAGACCAAACAGGCCCAAACCCTGCAGCTCATCCCTGGATACCTCTCTATATCTTTGCTTCAACCCATTCAACAGCACTCTTTGTCCATGATGTTCAGCTATCTACCTAATGGTTCTGTTTTGTTCACAAGGATATTGTGAGAGACTTTCCCAGATGCCTTATTGAAATACAAATGCCTAAAGGCAGTAAGGGTATTAGTCTGTAATGATATGATACCTAGTGATCATGACTTTTCTTTCTGAATGGATTTAGTAAATACAGCCAGAATTTTGCCTGGGGTAGATGTCAAGTTCACTGATCTAGTTTGTGGAATCCACATTTGCCTACTTCCAGTGTTTCAGCACCACTCCTGTTTGCCAGATTTCCTCAGATTACCAGCAACAGTACAGCGGACTCACCTGGAAAATCTCTGGTATGTTGGCAAGCAATCACATTGGCCATGTGTCTTAAACACATTCAGAATGGATGAGGGCTCTGTTACCCATTCAGGTATCTTGAACTTCAGTTTTACTCTTCTCATTCTTCATATAATTATGTTTGAGTTAAAACTGAAGCAAAATAAAGATAATCCTGCTTGCTGTCTTAGCCTGTATAATGACAACACAGGTGGCCCATTTTGCCTAGCATCCCAAATAGCCTATCCCTTTTTTGATTCTGTGTGTTTTAAATACAACTAAAACAACAAAATAAAACAATTTTCCATGTTCTTGATATTTTTCACTAGTCTCAGCTCATTTTGGCAGGAGGCTTTTAGATATTTCTCATAGCCCTTTACTATTCTGGACTCCTTAGTTACAGGTTCCTTTTTTTTTCTTCTGCTTTTTCCCCCAAAATCCCCCCAGTACATAGTTGCATATTTTAGTTGTGGGTCCTTCTAGTTGTGGCATGTGCGACACCACCTCAGTATGACCCCACGAGTGGCTCTGTGTTGGCGCCCGGGATCCGAACCAGCAAAACCCTGGGCTGCCGAAGCAGAGCATGTGAACTTAACCACTTGGCCATGGGACTGGCCCCTATATGCTCCTTTGAAAAATATCTTTTAAAATTTTGTTTTATGATTTCACATGCAATCCGTCTTCAACGTAGTAAAGTTAAAAAATATAGATAGGGAAAAAAGTATTATAATCCTACCCCAACAATAAGCATTGTTTACATTTTAGTATACAACCTTTTAGGCCATATTTTACATTTTAAATAACCCCATAGTGTTCTTTATGGATATACAATAACTTTTTGGCCATTTCCTTTGTTGTGGGATAGTTAGGTTTACTCGTATAAGCCATATTGTACTTCCTATAATAAATAATTCTACAACTAAAATTTTGCATATATTCATTATTTCTAGATCAGATGGTATGGACATTTTTCTAAAGTCAGATTTATTGAGGTTTAATTTGTGTGTAGTAAAATTAATCCTTTTTAATGTACATTTTTATGAGTTCTGAGAAATACTATGTGTATAGTCGTATAACCACCACCAAAATCAAGATATAGAATAATTCTATCACCTAGAAAATTCCTTTGTGACTCTTTGTAAGTCAGCTCTTGCCCCGTCCTCAACCTCTGGCAACCACCGATCTTTTTCTGTTCCTGTAATTTTACCTTTCCAGAATGTCATGTGAATAGAATCAGACTGTAGCCTTTTGAGTCCAGCTTCTTTTTCCATAGATAATGCCTTTGAGATCAATCCAAGTTCTTGCATGTATCAATAGTGCATTCTTTTTTTTTTTGTTATTGTAAATAACATTCCATTGTATGGTTATAACAGTTTGTTTATCTGTTCACCAGTTGAAAGACATTTTGATTGTTTCCAGTTTTTGGTTATTATGAATAAAACTGCCATAAACATTTTTGTATAGACTTTTGTCTAAACATAAGTTTTCCTTTCTCTTAGGTAAATACCTAAGAGTGGGATTGCTGGATCATATAGTAAGTTTATATTTAACTTTATGAGAAACTGCCAGGGCCACCCGGGTGGCACAGTGATTAAGTGCGCATGTTCCACTTCAGCGGCCCAGGGTTCACAGGTTTGGATCCCAGGTGCAGACATGGCACCGCTTGGCAAGCCGTGCTGTGGTAGGCATCCCACGTATAAAGTGGAGGAGGATGGGCACGGATGTTAGTTAGCTCAGGGCTAGTCTTCCTCAGCAAAAAGAGGAGGATTGGCAGCAGATGTTAGCTCAAGGCTAATCTTCCTGAAAAAAAAAAAAGAAAGAAAAAAAGAAACTGCCAACTCTTTTTCAAAGTTCATCTTTTTGTGTATGGTTGTCCAATTGTTCCAGTACCAATAGTTGAAGACATTTTTCACCACTGAATTTCTTTGCACCTTTGTCAAAAAACAGCTGTCCAGGAGCTGGCCTGGTGGTGTAGTGTTAAGTTTATGTGCTCTGCTTCAACGGCCCACAGTTTGTAGGTTTGGATCCTGGGCACGATCCTATACACTGCTCATCAGGCCATGCTGTGGCAGCATCCCACATACAAAATAGAGAAAGACTGGCATAGATGTTAGCCCAGGGACAATCTTCCTCAAGCAAAGAAAGATGAAGATTGGCAGTGGATGTTAGCTCAGGGCCAATCTTCCTCACCAAAAAAAAGGTAAATAAAAATAAAAAAACCTTGCTTCTCTTTATACTTTTGCCATCTAACTGTGCACTAGAGTTTAATTTTGCATGTCTTTGAACTTTATATGGAATCAGACAGTATGGATTCTTTTGAGTCTGACTTATATCTAAGATCCATCTAAGTTAAATTAAGCTGTAGTTGTTTCATTTTTATTACTATAAAGTATTCTACTGTGTTCTATACTGCAAATTAACCCTTCTACTTTGCTGTTATTTCCAATTTTGAGGATATTACAAATCATTGTGTTAAGAATATTCTTATACTTCTTCTTCTTCATCTTCCTTTCTTGCACAAGTCAATTCTAAAGCCATTAGGTGGTGTAGAGCAGGGTAGGTGTCCGTGCAGAGGGTTGACCTGGCCTTGGAATATTAGAGCTGAAATGGGATAAGGAGGGCATGCACATGGTGTGAACTAGCTCGCAGAGTCAGCAGGGTGCGGAGGGTACCTAGTGGAGGGGGGAGGTCCAGTGCCCAGTGTCATATCCCTAGCAGGGCAAGGGGGGTGTCCACACAGGAGGGCAGTTTAGTACAAGTTGTCCCCCTAGTGGGAAGAATATTCATATAGGGGAGGGGAGATGTAATTTGGTATGGGATGTCAGAACCTAAGTAAAAAAAGAAATGTGTCCATGTGAGGGGTACTGGCATGGCAGTGGGAGTCAGAGCCCAAGCAGGGTGAGGAACATGTACACGTGGTGGGGGGAGGGGGGAACAGCGAGAGGCAGAGCATCAGATCCCAAGTGGAGTAAAGAGGGCATCTGCATGGGGGAGGGGGCAGCAGTGGCAGCGGTGGGCAACTGGTTACGTAAGAAGAATTGACCAAATGAGTAAATTTATTAAGGATAATGGGAGCCAGATTTCTCACTGGAGAGGGACGTATGGAGAAGGAAAAAAATAGAGTAAGCCTTGTGAAGTTGGATTGGAATTAAAGATATTGCTATGAATTCATGGTTTTCAAAATACATAATTAAATATAGATGTAAATATATGTATTTAATACATGGATAGGTGTGTGTCCTAGTTCTGTTCACTGAGAGTACCTGGGGGACACCAGCATCTCAGTAACAGTGAACACACATGCACCCCGATCTTGACTCTAAATATCATCAGGCTGATTTCAGACTGGGACAGAGAAAGTATAAGATGAGCCTGGAATTTTTTGTTGTACTAGAAAGTAAGGAGATGCTCAAAGAATGAAGGAGCCATGTCAAAAGAATACAGAGTCCAGCTTGAAACAATTCCCACTGACCAAATGTTCGTCAATCTGAGCACCAAAATAAATCATGGTAATGGATTATAACTCATTGAATAAAATGAAAAACATGAGTTTATACTGATAGGTGAATAAATGAACTCAGAATTTAATGAGCAAGATATTTATATACTTTCAAGTACCAACCTACAAAGTACTTATTAATTACTATGTTAGTTATCAATTATAGTTGTGTAACAAATTACCCCAGAACTTAGTGGTTTCTAATAATAAACATTATCTCATAGTTTCTGTGGGTCATGAATTCGAGAGTGATTTAGCTGAGTGGTTCTGACTCAGGCTCTCCCATGTGGTTGTGGTCAGGATGTTGCCAGGGGCTGCAGTCATCTGAAGACTTGACCAGCCCTGAACTTATTCACAGGGCTATTGGCAGGAAGCCTCAGTTCCTTACCACATGGAACTCTCTAGAGGCTGCTTGAGTGTCTTCATACATGGCAGCTACATAACCTACTCTTCAAAGCCACGTTTCATCACTCTTTATTCTGTTCCTTAGAAGCAAGTCACTAAATCTAAGCCACACTCAAGGGGAGGGGAATCAGTCTCCACTTCTTGAAGTGAGGAGTATCAAAGCATTTGTGGACATAATCTAAAACCACCACTCTTACAAAAAGAAAAAAAGTAACTTTACAATGGCAAACTCTGTTATACTCTCCTTAATCAAGGTATCAAAGTGAACATCATCAGTAATAAGACAAACTGAAGTCTCATGTCACCTGACAAGAATACAGTGAGAGTAACACAGCATGTTTCTGTTATGTTCCTGCCAAAGATGCATGGCCTGAATCCAATCACGTAGAGAGATCAGATATGGTAGCCAGCCTCCAAGATGACCCCAATGATCGCTGCCTCCTGGCATTCACATTCTTGTGTAGTCTCCTCCCACATTGTACCAGGATTGGTCTGTGTAACTAATAGAATCCAGCAAAAGTAATGGTATGTCATTTCCAAGATTAGGTTATAAAAGATTGACTTCTTTCTTGGTCACTCTGGGGAAAGCCATGTTGTGAGCAGCCCTATGGAGAAGCCAATATGGCAAGGAACTGAAGCTTCCTTCTAACAGCCTTGTGAGTGAGCTTGGAGGTAAATCCTCCAACTCAAATTGAAGCATGTTCTACAAAATAAATGGCATGTAATCTTCAAAAATGCAAGGTCATGAAAAGCTAGATACAACTGAGAAACTCTTTCTAGACCAAAGAAGGCTAAAGAGACATGACAACAAGTGCAACATTGATGCTGAACTGGATTTTGCTATAAAGAGCATCATTGGAACATTTGATGAAACTTAAATGGGATCTGAAGATTAAATAATAGACATGTATCAGCATTAATTTCTTGATTTTAATGGTTACATTGTTATATAGGAGGATAGCGTAGTTTATAGTAAATATACAGAAAATATTCTGGGTTGATGAGGCATCAGGTTGGCAACTCACAAATGATTCAGGAAAAATAGTTCTTTGAACTGTGCTTTCAACTTTTCTGTAAGGTTGGATTGTTTCAAAATTTTTAAGAGCTAAATGAAGGAAAGCAATATTCTCATACATCTTATCTGGTATAGTTGTGCATGGATTTCTATTGCATGAATACCTACAAGTGGAATTGCTGGATCATAGAATATGCATCTCTTCAACTATAGTAAGTGTTTTTCAAAATGGTTGTACCAAATTGCATTAGTACCGGCGATGGATGAGTGTTCCTCTTGTTGTTTATCTTTGCTAACATTTGCTATTGCCAGCTTTTAATTTTAGTCTTTGGTGGGTGTCTGGTGGTATCCTATTGGAGTTTTAATTTGCTTTTCTTTGGTTAGTAATGAGTTTGTAAATATATGAAAAATATTTTGACTGTGTTTTCTAGTTCTGAGCTGAAGAGTTGATCTGAGTTACCTAGTCTGCCATTATTGGAATAGAATTGAGGAATGAAGATTTGAACTCAATTCTGTCTAACTCTAAGGTCCATACTCTTAACCACTTACTATACTGCCTTGTGATTAAATCTAACTTAAACCTTGTAAAGTGTAAAATGATGTTTTGAGCTGACCATAAAAGTAAATATCGTTTTATACTTTACATTGTTTATTCTTTTCAAGGCAGAAGACATCAAGTCAAAATTTTAAGGCCTGTATTCTATTTTTTGCTCTTTAGTGAAGCAAATAAGCAACATGTAAGATGTCAGAAATGCTTGGAATTTGGACATTGGACTTATGAATGCACAGGAAAAAGAAAATACCTACATAGGCCTTCAAGAACAGCAGAGCTAAAGAAAGCTTTAAGAGAAAAAGAAAACAGATTATTATTACAACAGAGGTAAGTTGACATGTAGCATCCAAAGGAATCTTTTTGATTTATATTTATAGAACTTATTAAGGGACTAAATGTCTCATGGTGGATATCCAGATTTAGGTTATAATACTAGTGAATATTTAATGAGTGCTTACTATGTGCTAGCCATTGCACTAAGGTCTTTACAAGTATTAGTTTATCTAAGCATCGCATCTATACATGGTAGGTACTATTCTTATCCCCATTTTACATATGAAGAAACTGAGGCATGGAGAGATTCAGTAACTTGCTCAGTGTCACATAGCTAGTAAGTGGCAAAGTTAAGTGTTACACCGACCTGCCCGTCTCCAGAGTCCATGCTCTTAGTCATTTTGCTTTATTGCCTCAACTGCCAATGAGATGGCAACGGAATACGGTGAGGTCAATTACATCAGCTGATGTGGAAAGACACTCAAGGTAAGTATCCGAGATACTTATATTAAGTATTTAAAAAAGGTAGAGAACAGTATATATAATATGCTGTCATTTATGTTAAAAAAGAAGAAAAAGAGAATGTTTTTTTTTAAAAATGTAAATGATTGATAATAGTGGTTCCTTTCTAGAAGGAAAACTGGATAGGAGGGAAACTGGAAAATTGTTATTTACCCTTTTATGTCCTTTGAATAAAACTTTTAAAGTTCCTGTGAAATAAATAAGTATACTTGTTTCAGAGAAACTGAAGTAAGAAGGTGTTGGGTCTACTTAATGCTACAGATTAGAAGCAGCATCTTCATGAGGACTGTTAGCTATTTAATAGTGTCTTAAACATGTGGACTTTCAAGGCAGCAGTCTTCCAATTTGTGAACATGAAGGCTTTTCAAGGGTTATGCAGGAATAGATGGATAGTCAATTTCTAGATCATCAACATTCATATATATTTGTTCCAAAAATAAATCCACCAAGAACTTGCCTACTGGTTCTACTATTCCACTTCCCCTTTTCCAACAACCCTTCTCTGATTTTGCTAAAGAAAGGCATACCTCTCATCTGCCTCTATAATCTTACCTTGGTGTATTATCCTCATGTGTAAAATCCTGGAGATGTTTCAAAATACTGGTGTTTGTACTGAAGAAGTGAATGCCTCTAATTATTGGAAGCAAATTCTTATGTAAATTCCCCCCCCCCCCCCCCCCCCCCCCCGGGGCGGCCTCATGGCACTGCGGTTAAGTTCGCACTCGCACGTTCTGCTTCTCGGCAGCCTGGGGTTTGATGGTTCGGATCCCGGTTGCGGACATGGTACCACTTGGCAAAAGCCATGCTGTGGTAGGCGTTCCACATATAAAAAAAAGTAGAGGAAGATGGGCGTGGATGTTAGCTCAGGGCCAGTATTCCTCAGCAAAAAGAGGAGGATTGGCAGTAGTTAGCTCAGGGCTAATCTTCCTCAAAAAAAAAAAAAAAAACTTTCCCAGTAAAATTGAAGGAGGACCTAATTGAGTTGTCAATTTAAAAGTGTATTGTAATGATACATCATTATGTGATTCGTGGAATATAACATGGGAGAAATTTGAAGAATTGAGTAACATTGCTGCAACAAAACTCTTTCTATTCCTGTCTACCTCTTTAGGTTAGCAAGTTTTCTCAGGATTAACTCTATTAAAATTAAATATAGGAATTGAATTAATGCTGAACCTTGTCACAGTCTGTAAGATCCATGGATATATAAACTAGAAAAAAATTCAATATCATTAAGAGATGTATTTCCAATAAAATTATTTTTATGTATAATGTTATTAAAGTTTATAGTATATTTTTGCATTGTTTTAATCAACTATATGGTAATAATGATAATGATAACTCAATTCAGAATTTTTAAATACTTAAACACATCATCACAAGTGATTAAAAGATACAATTTCAAGTTATGTCTATATTTTTATTGCAGAGAAGTATCACAAGTGATCACTAAAATTTTCAGGCATAAAAATATGTTAGGATACATTCAATGCAGAAAGCAGAATAACAGTACAAGTTCAAAGAGGAAAAAAGACTGTGAAAGTATCAACTGTTAAAGATAAGATTGTCTGTCTATTTTTTTAAGTGAATTATGATAGGTAACAAATTATTGTGGCATTTACTTTCCATTGGATACAATGATCAAAGTGATATAACAGTTTTCTTTTTAAAATATCAAGATACAGGGCCGGCCTGGTGGCGCAGCAGTTAAGTGCTCACCTTCCACTTCCGTGACCTGGAGTTCGCTGGCTCGGATCCTGGGTGCAGACATGGCACCGCTTGACAAGCCATGCTGTGGCAGGCGTCCCACTTATAAAGTAGAGGAGGATAGGCACAGATGTTAGCTCATGGCCAGTCTTCCTCAGCAAGAAGAGGAAGATTGGCGGCAGATGTTAGCTCAGGGCTAATCTTCCCCCCCCAAAAAAAAAATATATATGTATATATATATATAATATGCCAGAGACTATACCCTTGCAAATATTGAAACTTAGAATAGGGGCGGGCCCCATGGCCCAGTGGTTAAGTTCACACGTTCCTCTTTGGCTGCCCAGGGTTTCACCAGTTTGGATCCTGGGCGCAGGTATGGCACTGCTCATCAGGCCACACTGAGGCCTCAACTAGAAGGACCCACAACTACAATATGCAGCTGTGTACTGGGGGAATTTGGGGAGAAAAAGCAGGAGGAAAAAAGGTAGAATAAAAAGTATAAGGGGAAAACATAATTTTTCAAAATTCTTTTATTAGGAATATAAGCAAAAAAAATTAAGACCTCTGTCCTAAAGAATAAAAAATAAGAGTTATGAATAATTTAATTTCAACATTTACTTTTGTTTTTCTAGTTGTATTACACAAGTATCTTGGTCTTAAAAATGTATAGAACTACATGCATTTTAGATATGGCTCTGTTGCACAAAGACTGCTGATTTTTGGTTCGGTGATAAAACGATGGAAGTGTGTGAATTTCAGTGATCATGAATTCTTGTGGTGTGACTTAAACGTACTTCTACCACTTATTTTACCCCCAAAGTGACAATTCAATAAGTAATTCCATTGTGTAAAACAACTTTACATAAATACATATTTATGTTTAAAGACTTAGGACATAAGGATAGAAGCATTATCTAGGAAATATAGAGAAGTCAAGAATATAAAAATATTAAATTTACAGGACAGTCCTATAGTAATAGAAGTAATTCTGTAGTTTGAAAACCTGATTTAGTTTACATGTTGTTTGGCAGAAATAGAGCAGCAAGCCATTTGTGTATTTCATTCAAAAATCACCAGACTATGTTCTTTATAAATATTGTGAGGGAACACAGTGTTGAAGTAGTAAGTCTCTGGTTTTTAAACAGTAAATAATTGAACATTTGGGGGACATTCAGAAAAAGAAATGGAAATGGTTATTTTAAATTAAAGGTGCTTTTCTTTTTATATGAAATGGTCATTTATAATATGACTCTGAAAACTCAAATTATAAATTACAGCTGTTGTGCTATTACTTGCTTTGTTCTGTTGTTCAGTAAGTAGTTGATTTAGCCATGTCAACCTAAGTTCAAAACTAAGAAAGAACCCAGTTGATGCATTCAGTCATCTTAACTGCTAACTTTCCTGGCTTCTAAGATACAGTTGATAACATTTGTCTTGCTTAAGTGCTGGTTAAGTTGACTGCCTATGCCATATACAGCCTACAATAGCAAACTTTCCACTTGGTTATAACAAGAAATACTGGACTCTGAGTACATGTTATAAAAGACAAAATGTTTCTCCAATGTAAAACAGTTTTGGGGATAGCAGAAGAGTTCATCTAAGCTATGTGTGATCGATCACTCTATTAACAGGAGCTTTCTCCCCCCCCCCCCATGTTTATCAGCATTGGAGAAACTAATGTAGAAAGAAAGACCAAGAAAAAAAGGTATGTGTGGCTTGAGGAGTATTATATAGATAATATGTAATACTAGTTGGAGGGATGGGAAGAGTGATTTTAAAATAATAGTTATGAGATTTGGATCTGAAGTCTCTTGTTGCAATTCATGATTAAATATCATCCTGTTTTCTGATATGTTTTTCTCTTTACTTGTCTTGAATTTATTGCCTTCATTTCTCCTTTTTCTCCAACTTTCCACTGTCCTTATACTTGAAAATAGTTAAAAATTTCTCTTGGCTTAGAATAGAAAATGTTATTAAACTGGTAAGAAATTCTTGACCAGCTATATCTGGTCTAAAGTAGTTAAGATTATGAAACATTTACCATTCTACATGAGGTATAAATAAATCCAGTTGTTACACTGCAACTTTATTCTAACATTATTCACTGGAGCATAATATGGTAGGTAAACTTATCTGGAACTCCATCCAAGAGAGTTAAAATGCTGAAGTAAAAAGACCCTGTTGCGGGGGGGGGGGGGCGGGGGGGGGGGGTTACAACAGTTAGGCAATCCCAAAAGCATGAAATCTACAGATAACATGCTAGCAAAGCTGCAGTAGCTGCATATACATAATATTCATATGAAATTGCTTTTAAACATTCTGTTCAATGTCACCTTCCCATGCACGTAACTGTTCATTGTCTAATAGGTCTAAGAGTGTAACCAGTTCCAGTAGCAATAGCAGTGACAGCTCAGCCAGTGACTCTTCATCAGAGAGTGATGAAACGTCTACCTCATCCTCCTCAGAGGACAGTGACACTGATGAAAGCTCCTCCAGTTCCTCATCTTCCGCCTCCTCCTCAAGCTCTTCCTCTTCCTCTGATTCAGACTCGGATTCCAGCTCTTCCAGTAGCAGCAGCACCAGCACAGATAGCAGCTCGGAGGATGAACCACCAAAGAAGAAAAAAAAGAAATAGGATTGCTCCATCCATATGGGACTAATGAACTGAAAACATTAATGTGATTCTCAGAAGGGAATTTAGAATATGTTAAGGCCAAATAGGTTAACTGGTCAAAATGTCTAGAGTTTAAAAGTTTCTAAATGTTTTATGTTAGAGCATAAAGAGTATTAATAATGGAGAATATATATATATAAAGACTTTTTTATTTTAAGGGTGAACCTTGTTTTCCTTTTTTATCTTTAAAATATATCTCTAAAACTTAATCAAAGCTGAAATCCAGTAAATCTGTTTTTGTGATGAAACTTATCTTTTCTCCCTGTGAAATAAATGCCATACTTTGTTATATGTTAGTGGTATGTATCAGACATGTCTTCAGGATAATGCATCAGATTATCTGGCAGTGAATTTCTAATGCTTTTGGCTGTGTATTATTATGTAAGATTTAATACATTGTTACTATAAGCTTAGGAGTTTTCCTACTATTATAATAAATGGCTCTATTTTTATGTTTATGTTCAGAAAGTTATTCTGACTTCTTGTCCTAAATGAAAAGTTCAAGATACCTATTAATATATTTATACCTTTTGGATGGTACAAGTTTCATGTTTCTATGTTGTATTATCATTCATTTTCATCTGGTTCTTAGAGTTACCCTTTTTTGAGGAAAATCATTCTAGAGGAACCTAAAAAGGAACAAAAATTCTGAAACTACTTAGGAGTCTAATCTTGGTGCCTTTTGATAAATACAGTGTATTAGAAAAGAAACCAGTCATTTAAAAGGCTAACTTAAGTAAAAGTGATATAAATATCTTTGTGTGTTAATATGCTATAAAAATTACCATTCAAAGGTAAAGGAAAGTAGGAAGAAGAGAGGTAATTTTTACAGAAAATTATGACGATGTTGGTTGCCTTTTATTAAGATTTTTTTAAGCTTTCATAAAGATTGCCTTTTACGATTTTTGCAATTGCAGTATGACAGTTTATATGGTAACTGGTCATGTATGACAGCCTACTGGATAAATATGAATGACTTGGATTAATCTGCTGTGTTTACATACCATGTGCACAGTTGAAATCTAGCATGAAAGGTCAAAACGAAATACTGCACAATATTTCTCAAAGTTAAATATTCTGCTGTGGTGAGATTATTTGGTTTAACATCACATTATCCTATGATGTCTTTTACACTTTTTGGAAAGAGGTATCATTTGTAGAAAAATCTTGATTTGGATTAAATATAGGTTTTTAAAACTATGAATGTTGTCTTTTTATATTTTTATGAGAAAGTAGTAGAAAATTACTTTTGAAGAAAATGGGCTTCTATTTAAGTGTTGAAATAATGTATGTTGCAAGTTTAAGGAGCCTATAATTACCTGTAAGTTTTACAGAACCATCTGCTTTCAAAGATTGTAAATAAACTCTCAAACCATCGTTTCAAAGGCACCATACAGAATGTATCAGTTGACAGGTAAATTTAATAAATTACTAATTAAACACATTTTACAACGTTCATAGTCTCTATAAGAGCAATTTTAGCACTTAAAGAACTTGGAAGAGAAAAAAATGTGTACATAGGTTGCATCACTTGCGATTCAATAAAACTCATCATTTGTGCTCAAAAGCTTAAGCTCTGCTTCTCTCTGCTATTTTGCTTAATGCCAGTTCTTATTCCTTTTGAGGGTAAGGGCGTTTAAACAAATTCTAATTATATTTACTATTATAACTGTTGAAAGGTGTGCCTGGGGAAGTATAGAGGGCAGGAACTCTATTCTTTTCTAGTCACACAGTTCACTCAAAAAAGAATCAGTGGCAGAGTAGAGAGTAACTTCTGGAATTTCTCCCCATCCTGCCTAAAAATAGAACTCTGGAAGTTGAGTTCCTGGCAAATGTAAATGCATTATTTCTCAACCACAATCATGTCGAAAGGAGTCATTAGATCATAGGTTTTCATTTCACAAACATTTTGTTAGTATGACTGTACATTATAGTAATTTTGTTCTAGAGTCAAAATATGGCATTAGGCCACAAGTTAGCACTGGAAATAGAAAAAAAGTGCAGAGAAGGTGTACTTCATGGTTTTATTTATTCTGTTAGCTTTATTTTGAACTTACTGTAGATTTACAGAAAAGTTGTAAAAATATGATAGTTTCCGTATACACCTTGCCTAGCTTCTCCTCATGTTAGCATCTTACATAACCATAGTACAATGATCAGAACCAAGAAATTAATAATTTGGTAAAAGGAAACAAAAACCTTCATATTTCACCAGTTTTCCCACTAATGTCCTTTTTTAGTTCCAGAATATTACCCAGAAAATGCATTTAGTTACTTCTAAGTCTGCTACTGTCTTAACAGTTCCTCAGTCTGTCCTTGTCTTTCATGCCTTTTATTACTTTTCTGGAAGAGTTTTGATCATTATTCTGATTGAACTGAGGTTACTTTTGGAGGAATATCACAGAAATGAAGTTGTGTGCTCAGTCCATCATACAGGATTCTTAATGTCGATATGTTTACTTATTATTGGAGATGTTGACCTTGATCACTTGGTTAAGGTGGTTTCTGCCAGGTTTCTCCATTGTAAAGTTATTGCTTTTCCCTTTTAGTTAATAGATATCTTGGGGGAGATACTTTGAGACTATGCAAGTTGTTTCTCCTCACACTCACCCCTGAGTTTTGGTGGATCTTGCCTCCGACCATTATTACTGTGATGTTTTGCTAATGGTGATTTCTATTTCCTTCTTTCCTTCTATACTAATTGGAATTATACTATAAGGAAGAACTGTCCTTCTTCCCATTTTATTTAATCAGTTATTTATACTGTGGACTCAACAGATGTTTATTTTGTTCTGTGGGTTAAAATCCAACAATATCATTATTTATTTTGTTGCACAGATTTTTCTACTTTTGGCTATTAGGAGAGCTCCTTCAATTTGGCTTTTTGTCTTTCAACAAATTCTCTCTTTTTTTTTTTTTTTTTTTTTAGTATTTCCTTACTTTCTGGGACCACAAGATGTTCCAGGTTCATCTTGTGGTCTCCCTTCCCCATCTTTGGAATCAATCACTTTTCCAAAGGGCTTGCTCTGATTTTTAATTGGAGAATGGTGTTCACAATTCAAGATCTGGGTGCTGTCTTAGTATGTTTTTTACACATTTTGAACGACAGTGTTCTAAGGTAGTTAGATCCTAAGGTGTGGAGCCTTGCCATTAGCTGAAAGAAATAAGGTGTCACCTTGTATGTTTCTCATCTTAGCTTTCCTTGTTTTGCTGTTGCAGGACTCTTCCTCAAGAGCAATGCTTTCATTGACAACAGATGAAAGAAGCAAAGTCTTTAATTAAAAATTGTCATTACTTCCTCTCCTCCCTTTCCCCACTCTACAATATATCTAAATTCAGACATAGGCCAAATATCCGTTTTCTGACATCAGACTTCCTTGACTGGGGTCGCGGGGAGGGGATATCTACCAGACCTTGGATTATGGTGCCTGAGTTGAAAGAAGTTGGCCAAAGCAATATTTCAAATTGTATTTTTGTATACTGCCCTGCAGATTTTTACACCCTATGAAGATTGTGCCATGAAAAGATTTAGATTTACATTTAGATTTAGATTTAGATGTGTGTGTGTGTGTGTGTGTGTGTGTGTGTGTTTAGTAAAGAGGAAGAAAGGCATTTTGAAAGAGAAAGAGACAGGAAAGCCTGTATGATACCTGGGCTGCAGATGTTCTCAGGAGAATTTTAGGAGAGGGTTCCGATAGAAGTTGGGGACTGGAAATTGCCAATGTTCTTGAAAACATTTTTGTGTACCCCCAAGGGTACTTGTGCATACCATTCAAGGTAATCAGTAATATCAACCACAAACATTAGAACTCCTATTTGAAAGGTACTATACAACGATGTGTAAATAACACCTCAAGAATGGGTGCCTTGGAGTTCACTGTCTAGTTGGAAAGACCAGACATACACAAAAACATGTAGAACAATGAAAAGACGACTTTCAGTTAAACATGCAAATTGAACCCATCTGTTTATTACCATTCCTCTTGAAAGCCAACTAAAATGGCAGAAAAGAAACAAACAAAAAGCATAAACCCATAAGGCAAAGAGAAAAGAAGAGGAGATGAAACAGATAAGAAATGACAACTCTTTTGGAAGCTGAAAAATTAATGGACTACTGGATGCCGACTTAACCAAACAAAGCCAAAGTATACGCCTGCAGTGAGGGAAAGTCAACTGGTAGCAAGTCAATTCATGCCCCAGAACTCTGGAAAGGCTCCAACCTTGATGGGGCCATACACTCGTCAGCCAGACTGCAGGGAGGGTGTGAAGACAGAAAGACTGTTGGAAAGTTTATGTAAGAAGCTGAGCTCCTGTGCACTCCTCTCCTGTTCATCCTGTCTTAGTGGGTTCATTTTTAAAATTTTTATCCCGTTACTGTGACATTTTGTGAGTGAGCAGTAGTGAAAACCTGTGTTCAACCTGTCATGATTAAGGAGTATTACGTTAATTTTAAATTGAACAAGGCAATACAAGTTGCCATATGCTGTCACCGGAGGTACAGACAATAAATAGCTATTAGACCACATTGATAAATCCCCAGTACTAGATCTTACTCTCTCAGAAATTCTAAACAAAATCAATAATTAAAAACCATAGAACAACCAGGTAACTTTTTTTAATATAGACATTGTGTATACATTTGATAAAACGATTCCCTTCCTTAAGCAGTCCTGAGGGGACTCTTAAAAGATGATTTCTGTACTAGGCAAATGCACAATAAAGTCTAGGATCACAAAACATGAAAGCCAATACAACCACATATTTGTGCAAGGAAAATCTTCCCTAACTAGTTAGCCATCTTGAAGGGAACCAATGGGTATGTGGGCAAAGGAGAAAACACTCATTCATGCAAAGCTTAACCGCTATGACTAAGTACTTTTCTCTGTCTTCCAAGGATTCACAGGCTACTGATAATTATAGATATGTCTTTTTTTTTTTTTTAAACATAACACTGATTTTTTTTTTTTTTTTAAAGATTTTATTTTTTCCTTTTTCTCCCCAAAGCCCCCCGGTACATAGTTGTGTATTCTTCGTTGTGGGTTCCTCTAGTTGTGGCATGTGGGACGCTGCCTCAGCGTGGTCTGACGAGCAGTGCCATGTCCGCGCCCAGGATTCGAACCGACGAAACACTGGGCCGCCTGCAGCGGAGCGCGCGAACTTAACCACTCGGCCACGGGGCCAGCCCCTATAGATATGTCTTAAGTGCCGTAAGCAAGTCACTAGAGAGCTTTGAGTCTTAAATAATTGCTGGAAGAGTTTGGTAAAGCCTTTCAAGGAGGGTATATTGTCTGAGAAAGAGTTGAGCATGGCTGGAAGCCTGTTTGTATTGAAGAATGGCAGAGCTGAAGCTGCAAAGGCAGGAAGAGGATTGCTATGTTATTAAGGGTATTACATATCAGGTTAAAGAATTTGTATTTTATCTGAAGGATGACAGGAGAGGCTCACATTCCGGAAACATTTAAAATCTTTTAAGAGTGTCCAGACTGGAAGTAGAGAAACCAATGAAGTGACTTGAACTATCAGAAGAAGCCAAGCCCCGTGACTCCAGTAAGAATTAAATTGTTTGTGACCCAAATTCTACAATCTCAGTTTGTCTGAAATGGTATAACTTTCCTCCTAGGTCTGCTAATATTGATGTAATCCTAGGAAGAAATCAAAATAATATTACCAGATTCTTCAGAAAATATCAAAAAAAAGAGAAAGTAACAGTAGGACTAGGAAGACACAAAAATTAGTAGAGAAATAAAGAAATTAATAAAATCCATGATGTTAATGGTGTTTGTAAATATATATGTGTATGTGTGTGATTAATACTCAGTTATAAAAAATACATAGCTATTTAATTGATCAGCTTGTAGTCAACATTTAAATGCTCAAGAAAAATTATTTTTTCACCTTTTATTAGATTTATTGGCTTAACTTTAGCATTAAGAAAAAAGAAGGAGAGATTTTATTGCAACTGTCCAGAAGAGAAGTGAGGGTCACTCCTGGGGACGTTGGTCATCAGAGCCTTGATACAGCGTCTCATCCCCATCACTCTCTGCAAGGACAGAGGGAACACACCCACTTGTGGTAGAGACTACGTTGTATGATTTTTGTGCTCTTGTTTACAATTTATGCAAACCTAACACATTTATGCTAACCTAAGACATTAACAATGAGAGTGGAAAGGAGGTGACAGATATGAGAGATATTGAGAGGACAGAACTAACAGAACTTAGCTAACAGTTGACTATGGTGGTGAGAGAGGTGTACCTAGGAAGATTTCAAGATCTGTTGTTTGGATGATTGGATAAATATTGAACTAAAATTATTCGGTTTAGTACAATTATAACAATAATAGCAGTTACTACCTTGACATATTTAAACTGACCCTAGCAATAGGAGAAATGTCAAACTGTTTTTATTAACACAATGGAATACTATAGCTTTTGAAAAATTTCAGATATCACTTGGGTATCTGAAAATGTGTCTACAAAGTTTGATAGTGACTGAATTGCTAACAGTTCTCATATTTGGGTGGTAAGATTATAGATCACATTTTTTCTTTTCTTATTTTCCAATTTT